TAGTTTTGTGGGAAAATGAGTAAGACCCCTGGAATGGTGTAGGCTGGGAAAGGAATGTGGAGAGGCTCATAAAACAGCTATGATCAAAAGTAAATATTAAGAATAAACTACATGCGTGTTTCCAAGGAATTTCACTTGTATAAGAAGTGCTAGGTAAATACCAGGTAATGACTGACATGTGTTTATACATATACAACTAGTTCTCCCAACAACCCCTTGATGTAGGTACTATTCTATACCCCCACTGAAGAGGTGAGGAAACTGAAAACAGACAGACTCAGTGACTGGTCCAAGCACATTAGCCTGTAAGGGGCAGAGCTGGGACTGAACCCAAGCTATCTAGCTCCAGGTCTGGGCTGTCAATCACTATCAGTACAAAAGTGCCATGATATCATAAAGGAAAGTGAGGAAGCTGTGCAGTGATTTTAACTGATGAGTGGATGAGATAGGTAGGTAGGTAGAAGACTGAAGAAAATATTAGACTGGGTGGCTGTCAAGAATTGTGTTTCTCTTTTCTACGCCACGTTGCAAATCAGTTTCAGACACATAAATAGAATACAAAAACACTTTGTGTAGCAAGTGCTTCAGGAATGAGAGGGAAGAGGTTGTACAGACCTCATAGCATGTGGCAATTTGATTATGAGATTGTGTGATTGTTGCAGAAACCTTTCCTTTCCCATGGTGCCTTCTGTGGTCACAGGTGGGCGTCAGCCAAGCAGCCTAAGTACTTAAGGGCAAAGGCTATTGTATTTAATGTTTTCTCTCCCTCCCAGCAATCCACCTGTGGACTAGACCTGCGGCATGTGACTATCATCGAGCTGGTGGGGCAGCCACCTCAGGAGGTGGGGCGCATCCGGGAGCAACAACTATCAGCCAGCATCATTGAGGAGCTCAGGTGCAGGCTGGGCGGCTGCAGGGCAGGGATGGGCAAGAACCTGATACAGGGCACTAGCAAGCAGGAGCCAAGGCTCTTGGAGGCCTTCCTTGTGTTTGAACTCTCACAGCTTCACTAAGTCAGGAGAGCGATTCTCAGCTCTAACGGAAGATGACAATTAAATGGAGGCTTAAAATACACATCACCAGGCTCTACCGCAAGCCACATCTCTGGCCTTTCATAAAAGCACCTCAGGTGACTTTGAAGAGCCACAGCCGAGACACAAAGGATTCCACTCCAGACTTGAATCACTAGGAAGCCTCTGATCTCGTTGCCTATGAGCTCCTCTGTTTACCTGCAGTCGCCAAAGGAGAAAAAGGCATCTTTGGTCACTGAAATCTGAATCATATCTATCTGTCCCCCATGAAAGAGAAGGTTAGAGGTAGCAGGTGGTAGAAGTTGACTTTTCTCATTATCTATCCATTATCGGCCTTACAGGTCCCCAATTATACTCAGGTCCAATAAAGCCATCAGTGCTCTCTGTTTGAGAAGCAATACCTACCTCTAGGATTCAGTTTCAGTGCAGACAGAATGATTCTGGTCAGTTAAAGAGACTAGGAACCACTCCGAGGAGGGAGACAGCAGACTCACAGCTTCAGGTGGAAGAGTTAAGCAGGATTTGCTTATCAACCTCGTGGCTGCTAGGAATGATGTGCATACAAGTAAGTCATAGTGTCTGCAATACATACACCTCTTGGAGTTGCTCCATGCAGCCTGCATGCAGTAGGTAACAGCTTTGCTTAAAGTGGAAAACATGTTGCAGAAATAACAGGCTAGGGTGAGGAAGGAAAGCTAGACATCTAAGGCTACCAAGACTAGAAACTGAGCAGAAAACAAGCAGAAAGGATTTGCGCTAGGTAGGAGAGGGCACAGGAAAGGGTGGAGCTATAAAAGAGCAGAGGGGAGTAGCACAGTCTTGTGGGACTTGGACCAAGGTCTCACACCTCTCTGGGTTGCTCTCTCTAGGCAATTCCAGCGCCTCACTCGTTCCTACTTCAACATGGTGTTAATTGACAAGCAGGGTATTGACCGGGAACGCTACATGGAACCGGTCACCCCTGAGGAAATCTTCACCTTCATCGATGACTACCTGCTGAGCAACCAGGAGCTGGCACAGCGAAGAGAGCAAAGGGATGTGTGCGAGTGACCCTGAGCCAGCCTGTGGCTGAGGTCAAGTGCGCAACTGTCCTAGGTAGTAGCTTAAACTGAGGAGGAAATGTTTTCCCAGTGTTGGGAGCAGGACTCCGGTGGGGGTGCGGTTTGCCAACTCCAGGACAGTTCCAGACATCATTTTAGGGCAGAATATTTGTTTCCCTCAACAAGGCTCCACTTCAGTAGCACTGGAAAAGCATATGAAAGTAGGTAGGGACTGAGGCCAGGCAGTGGTTTGCGGGTGGATGATCTTCTCTGACTAGAGCCTCTGCCGAGCTCTCCCAAGTCGTTGAGATAAGTAAATCCTAAATTCATTCATTTACTGTGGTGGAAATGGTTCCTTTACTCTACAGCGACAGCAGAGGGCAGCAAAACAACAGACAAGCAGGACACTTTAAACATGTGTAAATAGATTGCCTTACGGTTAATTAATTGTTTTGGGAGCAGGAGAGGGGTGACAGGGGTCTACAAAACATTCTTGAGGCTGACTGTCATTTCCCTTTCCAGGACACTGGACTAAAAAAAATGTTGCTTGAACCATTGCTTCATCAAGAGTTAGAAAAACATTTTCTCCAGAGTTTGGGAAGCACCACCCAACAATAGCAGGATGTTCCCTCCTCGCTACTCCAATTAATTTGTGGGCAAGAACGTCCGCCTCCTGAGGTCTTTAGTGCCCCGGATGGTGGCCCTTCGCCAGAGGATCCCCCAGCCTGTGAACTAGATTACCTCTAGGAACTGGGGGGATGACTCAGCTGGTAAAAGGCTTGCCATGTAAGCATTTGCACCTGAGTTTGGCCCCCAGAAGCCATGTTCCATAGCTAGATGTGGTGTAAAATAGCTAGTTGTGGTGGTGTGCACTTGGAATCCCAGGGCAGAGGTAGAGATACACAGATCTGTGGGGATCCTGGTTAGGAAGCCTAGCCTAGTGGTGAGTACCAGGCCAAGCAAGAAACACTATCTCAAGAGACATGGTAAAGGGCCTGAGGAACACAACCCAAGACTGGCATTGATCTCCACTATCTCCATACACAGGCACATACATGTGTACGCACATGTACACACATACACATACACCACCACCACCACCACCACCACCACCACCACCACCACCACCACCAAACATAGCAGAAAAGAAAAGGGCATAGCATCAGGCATTAACTTTCTCAGATACCCACTTTTCAAGAGATGAGTACAGAGCAGGTAGCTAAAGGAGGCAAAGGTCAAGGTTAGGAATCAGGCCTGAAAGTCAACTTGAGGTTGGGCTTTTGGGAAATGGAGCCACACACAGAACCCTGCTTTTGCTTTTTCTTTCTTCCTTTGTCTTGCATCTTTAGTCTCCTGACTCCCTGGCCCACTTTGCTGGGCATTAAAGCCAGGATCTTCCACATGCCACACACTACTGCTGAGATGCATCTCCAGCTGCAGGGTTCTGCTCTGACTTGTGTCTCACAAGGGGTGTTTCACCAGTGTTTGAAAAAAAAAATCTTCTTCCCTTGCTTCTGAGAACTGTCTCTTGTATAGCGATGGAAGCCAGAGTCAGAGTCAGCACATGCCCTGTTCCTTCAGCTTTTTCCTGGGCACCATCATTGGGCAACTGGAGACAGCAAGCAGGCTGGGTGGGGAGGCAGAGGTAACAATGCTCAAGAACCTACTATGTGTCAGATGCCATTATAAACACACTATTGATTGACTCAGAAGTCTGCCAAGAGCCATAGAAGGTAGGTGTTGTTATTAGCTCCCATTTACTGATAAAGGAATTGAGTCCCAGAGAGGCTAGGCAAGATGCTAAGATCCCACAGCTAATAAGTGGCAGTTAGGCCCAGACACCAGCAGCCAGGCTCCACTCTGCCATCTGACCTCTACTGCTTTTTTCCTACTTCCCATTAAAAGATAACTGAACACTCTAGTAAGTGTTCTGTCTTCCTCGGATACAGTGAATACACAGTGGGCCAGGAGGAAGGAGCAAAATGAAAGGCTTTCACCCCAGGAAAATTCCTCTTTAAAGCAGAGTGGTAAGGTGTAAATCACAAGCCTACAACATACAGGCATAGCAGTGAACCAGAGAGAAGCAATTTCAACTGGAGTTTTATCGGAAATCTCAGTTTTAAAAGGGAAAACAAGAAGTCAGGCAATTACTTGGTGGAGAGGAACATGGAAAAATGATCAGACTGAAAGGGGAAAAATGCCCTTCTCCATCTTCCCTTGAGAGAAGACTGGAGCTTTGAAAGGCCAAAGGCAAATCATAGGCAGAAGGTGAAATACAATGAGTTCATGTCGGAAATTTCTGGTCAGAGCAAGGTCTGTGATTCCAAAGGCAAAGACAGCACGTTGGGGAAGATAAATGCACACCTTGTCTTTATAGCGGCACTTCAAGTGGCAAGCCAGGACACGCTAGCAGGTCAATAGCCCAGAAGAAAACACAGGGCCCCACTACCTCCTGCATCAAGTTCCCAGCTGGGCCTGACCCTTGCATGGAAATGCTCCAAGCAACTGAGGCTTGGAACAACTTTAGAGGCTTCGGTTTTGTTTCCTTTGGAGTAGTCAAGTCAATCTTGCCTTCTTTAGGGATGTTTTTACTGCAACCTCCTTCAAAGTCTTTATATATTATGACTTAAGAAATCCAAGTAGGGGGAAGACAGGAAGACAATCATGCCAGTCAGAGAGGGACTGGCATGACAAGAGCCATTTCATGCCTTCCTACGCAGCTCCCTTTCCCCTTTCCCTCTCCTCCTATTCTCTTCTCTGTGCCTCTCTCCCTTTTTACCACTCTTCTCCCCTACTTCCTCCTCCCTCCCACTCTCTCTCATATACACACAGTGTTGTCACTAGGCTGGCTTGGCAATATCCAAAGCATTCTTATTGTCCTCCTTTGCAAATTAATCCTATTGTTCCAAGGTATTTTAGGAGAGATGAACCACCACTTTGTTTCATACTTTGCCCTTAATATACATCATTCTCACAGAAGGCAACATGGTAGTCAGGCCTGGATTCAAATTCCAATTCCGTCACATGACAACGAGCTTGTGTTTGATCTGCAAGAAGGGCAGGTTTCCTACTTCAAAATGTGCTGGAGAGAATCAGCCAATATCATGCAAAGCCTTGCATATGAGATGCATTTCATTTTTTGCAAATATGCTTTTGCACAGAGGCCAAGAATCGTTTGAGCTTTAACTAGAAAATCAGAGCCTTATTTCAAAGGTGAGTTGTATAGCATCTGTGATTTAGCCCCTGAATCTCAATAATGGAGTAGATGAGAAAAAATCCCGACCTCCCAGAGAAACTGCATAATCTAGAAAGAAGTGCTAGTAACATGGAAGGCGTTCTCTCATGCGTGGATGACCATCTCCCCTCTTCTTCCAGAGAGGGACAGCCTACAAAGCCAAGGGCCAACTTCTAGTGGCACCAGAGAGGGAGAAAAGTAGTGCTACTTTTAGATTCCAAACATATAGGACAAGGAATGTGGGCTCAGCAAAGGTATCTGACGGCAGTGTAGGAAAAGGCAGGTTTTCTTCCAGTATAGCAAGGTGCATTTATTACTCTGGTTCCGACCTTCAAGCTATGAGTCCAAGTGGTAACAATAAGTCAGGACATCAGAGACGAAAGGATCTGCAGAACTCCAAGTGTAAACACTCAAGTGAGAAAGCTTTATTGAAACACGCATGCATGTTGAAGTGGAATAGCAAAGAACAAGCATGAGCCCAGTCTCTTGAGTTACACTTCCATCCCAGTATCAATCCATATTGAAGGGATCTTTGAAAAACATTCTATGCAATTCACACATACAATCTTAACCACCCCCAGCTGCCTGCAATCCAGGGATTTTATAGGAACATCAATTCGCAGCTGGCTCCATCGACAGGATTTCTTCTCTGGCACCAACACCTTCCACACACACCTTTGTAGAGATAGGCTGCTTTGAATGAAAAGTCCAGTTTAGAAGAATGAGAATTAGGAAATGAAAGCTCACTAGATCTCTCTTTTAAGTCTCAACACACCACCCTGTTACATATAGGTCACATTTAGGAAACAACCAAAACTGGGAACTGAAAATATATTAGCTCAAAAGTCAGAATAGATGGGCGATTCCATCCACATTTCCATGGGGAGGCAATAATCCCCATCCTGGGGGAGCACTGTATTGGTTTAGACCGTCTTTGGCTCTTCTGGCTGAAACAGAGGTATATAGACTAAGTTCTATGTAGCAGTACACCCCAGACACAGACTTAGAGAAAGCTATAGTACATGAGAGTGAAGATGTCTCATCTTCCATTAGGGAAATAAGGAAATCCCTCTTCAACAACTGCTATAACAGGTTAAAAGAGAGAACTCAGCATGGGCCTTGAAAAACTTTATTCAGAGTCACTTAAACCTTCTGGGATCAGCTAGTAGGTCTCACAGGGCATCTTAATGTCTCAGTGAAAAGGCCATTATCTAATTAAAGTGATTCTTCTAAAGTGACTCCATTACAAGGGCTCCCCGAAGGTCTAGGAAGGAGATGGGGAATTTTCATTGCATCTCAGAGAGACCCACTATACTCATGCAAGGTGGAAACTGCTTAAAAACGAGAAAAGTTAAAAGGCAAATTCTAAAAATATATCAAGGTGGATGCTGAGATAAACTATGGACTGAAGAGGAGTGACTGGTCGTAAGCCCCTCTCCCACAGTGTACTGTCTTTAACAGGCAGATCTTGCTCTCCAGAGCCTTGGCCTTTGATCAGGCAGACCTAGACCCACAAACTAGACCTACTGCCAGGAGTTCCGGGGGAAGTGGGAGCGAGGATAGCAAGACAGAAGGGAGAGAGCTGCTGTAAAAGGCTTTTAAAAGTTAATTAAACCACAGAAAGAGAGAGGCAACTATGTACTCTGAAAATATACTAAACTATACATAAATAAAAACCATTTGAAAAGACCCTTATTCTTGGGCTGCTTTAAAGGAACACATCTATGTCACACTTGCTAGCAACATAAGACCTACAGAAATACGTGTTTATACAAATACATGCACACACATTAAATTAGCAATCTCTCCTTGTGGTTGCTTAGCTTCTTTTGACGTAGACTGACCAGGGCTGCACCTGCAGATAAAGATAGGGACTCATACACCCAGCTTCTGTTTGACCATTGAAGAACGTAGCTGCAGAGTCCCTTCTGCCCAAGACCCTGGGTACTGCTGCATCTTCTGCCACAGGCTTACTTCTTCACCAGTCGAATCCATCCAGTCCACCACTTCGCCATTACTGACTCCTGAGGAGAAACACCAGAGGAGGCTGAACAGAGTCCCACCACTAGCCCATCGGGAGGATGGGTTCTATAGTGGAGGAAGCCAACCCAGAAACGACAATGTACAGTGAAGATAGAATGCCGGGGACAGCAAGCTGGCAAGCTGAGTCGACAACTACTTGTACCCCAGAGACAATCAGGTGACTGCAGGTTGATGAAATGGGACTTGAAATGGCATAATGTCAATGGGGGCTTGCTTTTTAGTGGCTTTTTCAGAGCTTTGGTGTCTGACATGCCATACCAGAACTGCTAACCTTCTGTCATTAGCAATTTGACTTAATTTTTTAAAGAATAGTTTATTGCGTACACAGTAAAAAGGCAGTGGGCTCGTTAATAACTAGAGTACACATGGGGCCTTGACATTTTTAAAAGTTGAAGACTTTCTCTCTCTTTTTTTATTATCAAAGACAGGACTTCACACTGAAACCCTAGCTGGCCTGGAACTTGTGGCCATCTTCCTGCCTCTGCTTGCCGAGTGCTGAGATCAGAGGCATGTATAACCATGCCCAAACTATGAATACCTTTTTCTATAGCTGTAAATTCTATGCCTAAAGTTAGGATTATGTGATCTTACTCCTATTTTTTGTATACTAATTCATTCATTCAGTGAACATTTCCTGAGTGCCTACTCTATGCCAGTTTGGGGATACAGTGATGAACACACCAAAAATGTCTCTGCCCTTAGACAGCTTATATGTGAATAGGAAAGACAATCATTATAAAGTCCCAAAGTAGGAAGTTACGTGGTATATTTGGAGAGCAGAGTAAAAGCTATGGTAATTGGA